CCCGTGGGAGCTGCGCGACCTGTGGTGCGTGTTAGACCTGTGTGGCCTGTGGGACCTCAGGGACGTGCGGGCCGCCCCCTCGGGCCCTGACCCCCACGCCGTGGAATGGCCCTCAGGCGGAGCGAGGAGGAAAGAGGGAGAAGGAAGAGAGGGAGGAGGAGGAGGAGGAGGAGGGCACAGGAAGAGGAGGAGGAGGAGGAGGAGGGCACTCGATAGCCATGTGTCTGTAAGTCTACTCTTCTTCGAGAGGAGGCGCCTCTCCCAGCGGGTTGCGCAGCGGAACCACGGCCGCCGCCGCAAGGGAGAAGGCTCCATGGCTTCATAAGTGATAGAATGGGGACTCCCTCCACAGCGGTCGTTCGACCTCGCCGACTTGGGCGGGAGGGTGCACGCAAAGCTGAGCAGCATCACAGGACGATCAGTCAGGGCTTAACGACGTCTGCTGTCCCTCGACTCGCGATGGGGGTTCAACGATTTGCACCAGACTTCTCTGAATATCCCTGGATTTACCTGGAGCTAACCGGACTGGCATTGATATAAAACAGATTACGTACATCGGTGTATCTAGCTTGATCCCCGCAAGTCGATTGAAGAAGAGTCGCCAGGCCCTCTTTTTAGTTTGCCTTCGACCACCCCTTCAAATGGCCGCCGCGGGTGGGAGAATATCAACTCGGTCGCCCAAGACGCCAGCTGACTCGTCCTCGCTCCTCCTCGCTCTTCCTCCTGCTCCTCCTCGCTCCTCGTCTCCGCCTCCTCCTCGCTCCTCCGCCTCACCCTCCATCACATTCCTTATAGATGACTCCTCATTGTCGCAGCCAAGACGTGTCCGTAGGGCGGGCTGGGCGTTTCGCCTGAGACTTTCTCACCACTGACGGTCCTGAAGCTTGACATTTGCGAAAGGTACACGGATTGAGGGGGGCGGCTTTCAAAGTAGGGATCTCGCCGAAGCGCCGCGCACACTCTTCACTGTAACAGGCACAAGGATGGAAGGGGGGATGGAGTGGGGCTCTCGTTCAGCGTCACGCACATTCGTTTTGCAGTTGCAGCAGCTACAAGGATAGACGGGGATCGTTTTGAGAATAGACGTCTCGCCAGAGCGCCGCGCAGAGTCGTCTTAACAGCTTGCGGCAGCTACGAGGATGGAGGGGGTCGGTTTCATAATGGGACTCTTGGCTCAGCGCCGAACACGTTCGTCTTAAAACCGTGCAACATCTACAAGGTGTTGAGGGCAATTCCTTTATAGACTGGGGCTCTCACTGAGCGCCACGCATACTCGCCTTAAAGTTTGTAAGACATGAGCGTTCAACAAGTGATTATCGCCGTAGCGCGGCGCACATTCGTCACAAAAGCTTGCAACCGTTACAACGATAGATGACGGGTCATTTTCAAAAGGATGCTCTCGCTGGGGAGCCCTTTAAATTCAATGACCACAAGTTCGAACGTGTGTCACAACTGCACTGATGGAGGCTATGTTCACCTTCAATTCCTTCAGCTTCAGCGGAAGTTTACCTGTGCGCAACAAATGCACGGAGTGGGGCGGCCCCATTTCACGATTGAGCTCCCGCTGGACACGTCGTTCAACTTTACAGGCCTACCTCTTCGTGGCCCCTTATGACTCACTGTAAAAGAGGCAACGTAGCTCCGTTTCAGAACGGAGAACTCGCCTGAATGGCAGGCCCACGGGGTGCAAGGGAGGCCTGTAGGGACTTGGGATGGTAGGGGGGACCTGGGATGGGAGGGTGTTGCAGCACGGTTGATGCATCCTGGGGTCAGGACTTCTCCTCCAGGGGGGGAAATTTCTAAGCGACACGAACGATTCGCGGCGCACACCAGGGGGTGGCGCCAGTGGGGCCTTCTTAGGAGGCAGGGGCCTCTTCAGAAGTGTCTGGAGGCTTCTGAGAAGAGCCCATGCCTTCTTTCAAGACCTCATGGCTTCTGGAAAACTCGCGCCCGTTGTGAGCGCCGTCAGAGGGAACTCCCGCCTGTCTGGACTGATTAGGGCTCCCTGCCCCCTATTTTTCTGCGCGCCGCCGAACACCCGACGACGACGACGACGACGAAAGACTCTGAGGCCCTAGTCAACGGAGGCGAACAGAAAGGAGGACCGAGGTGGAGGATCCTACATCCTCCTCCTCACCCTCCTCCACCTCCCCCCTCGTCCTCTTCCTCCTCGTGGTGCCACAAAACCAAAAAATGTCTGGTGTCACCAAGGACTCCAGCTCGGGCTGATTTCGCAGCGTACTCATTCTCGGTCGGCACCCACTCGAGCTTTTGTACTATTCGGAGGTGGAGCTGATCATACAACGGTTGCCAGCCTTCCCGCAGTCTCTGCTCTCGAGTTCAACCTTTTCGTGCCAACAACGAGCTAGGCTTGATTATGATGCAAAGATCCCTTGCACCTAATTCTCGTCTGCAGCTATCCCTGGTCGTTGGTTACCCTGGCCGCCTGCTGCTTCCGACGCGTTGCACACTTGCACCCTGGCAGTACTGGTATCCAGCCTACCGCCAGCCTTTTCCACTCGCCGGCCCGCCGCCGAGGTGCTGCGTGAGGCCCCGGCCCACCGCTTTAGGTTAATTCGTCTTTGCGCGCCCCGCTCTGACTGGACTCGCCGCTGGCGCGCTCGCCTGCGGCCGCTGAGCTGACTAAAAATTATGATGCAAAGATGGTACAACTTGCTAAATCAGTCTCCAATGCACGGTGTGAGAGGCACTGCAAATGCGGCGTTACGCTCACTAGGCGCAGCCGGCACGAAACACCAACAGGTAACATCTCTTCCTGAATTCGGTTGAGCAGTTTGAATAAACCCTGCGCATGACTCGGGCCTGATGGGTTCTCGGGAGCCTTCGTGAGATCCTTTGCACCGCTTATCATCAAGGTGTTCTACCCTCTCGTGGTAAAAACGTCGTTATTAGTGTATGAACCGAGTCAGTAAAAAGGAGCTGTCTCTACTGCACACCCCGAGCGGTCGAGAAGGGCCCTTTCTTCCAACGTCCTCGCGTTCGATGTTAGTCGCATCTCAGATAGGCAAACACTACCACTCCTGTCTCCGTGGCCTACCTACTGTTTCCTTTCATCAAGGAGATTGCGGGCAACCATCAATTCGCGGGGGGCCTCAGGGCGAGGGGCACCCACGGCTACACTATCTGAATCACACTGCCACATGTCGCACAGCTCAAGCACTTCTGTCTGTCGTTCCTCTTCGCTGACGTGATGAACGCCTACTACTCCGCCATCAGGGAGGTAGCTTTCTACTACACGGGCACTTCTGTGGAGGAGCTAGCTGGCCTGCTACAAGTTGCGGGCTTACTCCCTATGTTACTGCCTACCCTAGAGCAGAGGCTTCAAGAACTACCGACACTATGGCGCGCCGGCCTCCTTCATCATTCCCGAGCATGCATCCAGGAGTTGTTCCAGTTAGGATGGATGGTTATTGATCCCTGGGGCCGAGAACATTGCGATTACGCACCGAGGGAATCGCCCAGGCACACCGCTCGTGGACGCCATGTGTATCGTCATCATCGCCAAAATCACGAATGCTATTACCGAGGAGTTTGCCGAGCATGGCATGAATATTGTGTTTCGTGCTGCAGAAACAGATTTGTTTGTTACCGAAGAAGGTCCACAATCGCTTCTACAGGGGCTGAGACTTGTCTATACTGACGAATTTGGCTTCGTCCTGCTTGCCACCGCAGACGGATTTCAACAGGTACTGCAACATGCCTGCCGTGTCTGTATAAACAGTTTCCTTATGTTCGGACGTACTTCAAACATGAAGTAAGGTAAGACCGAGATGTTGTCATCTATTCGTGGGCAGTGCGCTGCAGAGCTTAAGCACCAGGTGTTCACGGTTATGCAGTCCAAAGTTCCCGCACGTGGGCGTGTGGGCGAGGCGGAACACGTGCATCTGGTCAGGCGGTCACTCTAACTCGGCAACGTCGTCGACGATCGAGCCGTGCTGGGCTCTGGAAGATGTGGAGGCAAACCGTTTGTGCTTGGATGCGCTGACTCTTAACTCCTCTATGTTTGCTGTTGGGGCGTGGTTCCGCTTGCACAATCAGGATCAAATACGGTGTCGTTCCCTGTCGGTCAAAACGTACCCGAGGATCCTGAAGATGCACCGCTGTGAATCTGGTGGGCCTACTGACGCCCAAGTTCTTGCGAAGGCCAAGCGTCCCTCCCCCGATGCGATGATCACAGCCACGAGGCTAAGATTTCTTGGCCAAGCTGTTGATACAGAGCCCAATTCTCTGATATGCATGTTGCCATCAGAACTTATCGTGGCACGTGCTACCGCGTTGAATGCCTCGTGCCTGCGCCACAATCTGGATGATCTGTCTTGGTTGAGGGTTCATCATCATGCTGTCGCACCTATGCCGCTTCCCAGTTGCCGACACCGCTCAGTGGCTGCAGTTGGTCTGGAAGCCAGCTTCGTCTTGGAAAAGCCTCTCGTGGGACCCTAGATGTTTCCGTCCAGAAAGCATTCGGGGTGAGCAGGGAGCTGGCTGGAAAAAAGGTTATCGGGCTGCTTACTCAACATGGGTTTCTGCCTCCCCGATATCTGCACGAGGCTGCCGGCGAGCCACCCCTGCATACTGATAGGAGCTAGAGCTCCAGCGGTCCCACCGTGTTGCTGTTGAGCTTTTACGGGGGGCTTGGTCATCGCAGACCCTTTTTTCCCCCTCCTCTCACCACCCCTCTGCCGCCTCCCCCACCTCTCCCCGCCCCTCCTCACCGCCGTCCTGGGGCGCATTGCGGCCAACCGGGCCGAGGCGCCGCGCAAGAGGCGCGTTCGGGTAGCCACCGAAGGACGCCAGAGGCCCCTCGTCACTGGAGGCGCACGCCTTGCCTCTGGAGCTCCTCCTCCGGGGCTGGCGCCGAAGAGGAAGGGAGCCTAAGAAGAAGGGGGGACCAGGAAGAAGAGGATCGAGGAGGCAAATCGATGAGAATCGAAGGGGGGCGAGAATCGAGGAGGTGGACAGAGTGTGTTTGGCAATGGATCAGCGTCAAGCCCTAACCACGTTGGAAAGACGAGCCGCGAGCGCGACGAAAGGTAGAGGAAAGGCAAGGCCAGCTCAGTGGAATCGCCCATCCTCCTCGCACCTCCTCGATCCTCATCCTCGATCCTCGATCCTCCACGTCGGCCCTCCCAGAAGAGGGGGGTTTGGCGCACCATGGCCCAGGACATGTGAACGGACGAGGGCAGGAGCGGTCAGCATCAAAGCGACAAATCGGGTCGCATCGGATCGCCAGAATATCAGAATCGGATTGGATCGAGCTGGCCAGAATCGACACCGAATCGGGTCGATTGGGTCGAAATGCACTCCGGGGGGGCCAGGGGGGACACCGAAGCAAGAAGGAGCACACACCTGCAATGCAGTCAGGCTGTAAACGAAAGACGCATCAGCGATGCTGCAACCCGTCCCAAGTCCCCTCGTCACACGTCCCTACAAGCTGTCCTTACACTACAAGAAGCGCCCCCTTTGAAAGACCAGCGCAGTTGTGCCTGCCATTTTGGCGAGTACCCCGCTTTGCAAATGAATTGCACTGAATTCTGGTGCGTAAGCAGGAACCCGAAAAACTATGATCCTAAGGTTGAACGAAATCTCCAGCGAGATTCCCCTTTCGAAGGACTGCCCCCCTCCCCATCCGTGACAAGCTTACAATTGGGGCCATGAACTTCGAGGAAGTCCCATGCGGCAGTTCCATTTTGGAAAAGAGCCGCCCTGGACCAGTGCAGCGCTACATGTGTTTAAGTTTCGGGCCAGTCAAGGTGACGACGTCTACAGCGAGAACCCATTTTGAAAAAAAGCTGTCCTCCGTCCTTCTCCACGTTGCAGTGAAAGGAATGTTTGCGGCGCTGTGGCGAGAGCCCCATGTTCAAAACGACCAGCGCTCGATATGTCGCGGCGCCCGGGCGATTGCTCCACTTCGAAAAGAACAGCCCACATCGATCCCCAAGCGGCCCCCTGTGACTGCGTTCGTGTCACACCCCTCTTCGGCGCCCCCTGCTCCTGCACCCTCGCGATGTCCACCTGGGCCGTGGTCGTCCCGTCGCGGGCGGCCATGGCAGCGGCCACGCCGGCTCCCTGGCCAGTGACGGTGCAGCACATCATGTTGCGGGTCGCCGCGTGGGAGACCTCTCGGCATCACGAAACTGGGTAGTCGAAGCCAATCTGGCGTCAATCTGGCAGGCCCAATCTGGCAAACGGGGGCAATCTGGCGAGGGAGCCAACGCGATTCCAGTCTGGCGAATCACCCAAATCGTCCAGCTTGGCCAGGCCAGATTGGCCCTTGGGGCCCAATCCAATCTGACAGTCTGGCCTTTGACTACCCAGCGAAAGCCAAATACCCAAAACCAGGATCAGGCGGCAAGGAATCGGATCGAATCGGATCGGCATGGATCCTGATGACCTCCTCGCACTGGGAAGGAAAATACCCTGCCACATACCCAACCCATCTGCACTAAGTGGTAAGAGGAGCTGGCCCAGAATAATTTGGCAGATGACAGCACTGGGGAGCGCGCACGCTGTGCGAAACACAGGGCAGCAAAAGAGGACGAGTACTGAGGCCCCAGCCTCGAAGAGCAAGTGGTGGCAGGGGCCAGAAAAGGACAGAAGAGGGCCCGAAAAGTTAACGCGAGAGCAGCAGTGAGACGGCGAAGCAGGAAGAGGACGACAACAGAAGAAGCAGGACGAGGAAAGAGGGTGGCGCTAATTTCCCAGGGGCGCGTTGGATAAGCAGCGCGGTCCGCGCCATGTCGCTCTGGCGTTCTAGGGGATCAGCTGTTCATAGCTAGTGCAAGAAGCGAGCCGTGCCGACCACACCCACCAGGTTCTCCGCTTTCTTCCTGCTCCGTGCAACGCGGAAGCTCAACGCCCGCAGGCGACCCGCGGGACAGGAAATCAAGGAGCCCCCCAGCAGCCCTCGAGAAAGTGGCGACAGTTTCGCAGATCGACGCCCCCCAGGGATGGCGAGGTCTAATTTAGATCTGCGTGGGACGTCACTCCGCTGGACTCCCCAGCAGCCCTCGAAAGTGGCGACAATTTCGCAGATCGCAGCCCCCCAGGAATGGCGAGGTCATCTAGGACGACGACGTAGGAGGCACGATGGCAGGCAGGACAGAGGGCACGATGGCAGGCAGGACAGAGGGCACGATGGCAGGCAGGATGACAGACAGGCAAGAAGAAAGGGGGTGGGAAGGCGAAGGTGTGCAACCGCAGTGCTCTAGTCAGAGCCAAGACCCAACACAGGGAGGTTGGTAAAAACAAGCCGAAGGTGTTCGGTCATGCTCGGCCTCTGGGGCACTCAACGGGCCGTCAGAAGACGGCTCGGGATGAAGAGCCAGTTCCCAGGAAGGATCCAGACCTCCGAGGGTCCAAGTTGTGAAGAGAACACTGCGTAAGCGTAAACGTTTGGAGATGGCGCAGATTGCTTCGGTCGGTGCTGGACCCCGCTCCCCTGACGTCAGGGGGATCCAACGTGCACCCAAGAGAGCCGCCCGGACGTCCGAAAGTAATGTCTATGTTGATACATCAGTTGCACTCTTAAGATCGCCATCCCCTCTGGCAAAGCCTCGGCCCCAACGTTCGGCCTAACCCCCCTTGTTGGGGGGCGGTGCCCTCCCCGTCGGGTTTCCCGGCGTCCATCCCCGCCTCGGGGGGGCGGCTGGTGGCGCGGAGGAACCCTCCCAGACCTCCGACGCCGCGTCTTTTCACAACGTGGTTTCCCCGAGGTCTTGACCTTCTCCCTGAGACCGGCTTCTCATCCCGAGTCATTGCTAGACGGTCCCAGGACCCGGTGAGGGCCCCCAGAGGCCGAACATGTCAGCAGACCCTCTGTCGTGATGTTTGCGCAACGCGAGGAGACCCGGGCTGGCCCCCTGGGGATGTGGACACGTCTGACGATGCTGAACCTTGTCGCCAGCCACGCAGCGCCCCGCCACCAGCAGGTTGTCCACGCCGACGGGCACCATGCAGCCGTAGGGCACCTGGAAGTAGCGCCCCGTCGTGGGTAGGATGAGCACGTTGTAGCCGTCCACGAACTCTGGGAAGATCCCGATGGCAGAAGAAGAAAGATCGGCATGAAAATGAACATTCGGAGGTGCGCGCGGGTCTCTTGGGTGGGCGATGGACTCCCCCTCCCTGCATGCAACGCCTCGTAGCCCTCGCCCCCCACCCCAACCCGCCTCGCCTGCCTCGCCTGCCACGCTCGCCGCTCTTCTTGGCGAGCAGAGCCCCAGGGGAGGCGCAGGAAGCGCCGCCCCGGGGGTCAGCGAAGATCCAAGAGATCCGCGCGGACCTCCGAAAGTTCATGTCGGTGCCGATTAATTTTCTTCCAGATGGAGTCCTTGAAGCGACCCTGGCCCCTGACGTCGTCTGCGGTCAGGTTGCAGCGGCCGACGATCTTCCTAGAGTCCCTCGTGCCGAGCGTCATGCCGAAGTTGCGCAGCTTGGCCTGCTCGAAGCCAGGCACGCATGTCTTCAGGGCCTGGAGGGCGTACAGGGTCTGCTGGCGCCCCTCCATCTCGGCGCGGGTCAAGTCCTCGGCGTCCGTCGGGTCGACGCCCTTGAGGTGGACCAGGTTCAGGTTTGTGGCCTCGCCGGCCTCGCTCAGCGCGCTCCAGGAGCCGCCAAAGTTCTGCGTGAACTCGTTGTCAGGGATGGTCGGGTCGGACGAAAGGGAGTGAATAGCGAGGAGGGGTAGCGAACTAGCTGCATACAGCTGGTTTGCCTGGCGCCTCGTGGCGCCTCCTGGCGCCACGAGCAACCATGCATCGAGAAACGTGCTGGGCGGCGGAAGAAGCAGCTGTCGCACCCCCCCCTCCTCGTTAGCGCTGACCCATTCCTTAGCTTTCGGAGAATACCTCGGGCATCCGGCGGACGTTCAGGACGATTCTGGTATCCCCGGCATTCCCTCGACGAGGGGCAGCTGACGGAAAGCGCCTGGGGTCCCGAAAACCGCTGGAAACTTCAGAAATTCAAAATTCGCCCCTTGTGGTCTGGCTTTCGGGTCATACTCCAGGACTCCGGCGGCCGATCGGGACGATCCAGGCACCCCCGAAACGCTCTCGGCGAGGCGCAACTGCTGGAGAGCATCCCGAGGCTGGAACACCGCCAAGGCTCGACGAACACGTCAGAGGATCTCGAACCTGGAGCCCCCGGTCGTCCACCCCCAGATGGCCCCGCTCTTGCGGGCCTCCTCGAACTCCGTGTCCAAGTACGGGCTCCGCAGGCTGTCCTGGCGCGCAGGCGCTCCACCGGCCCCCACAACGCTCAGGGGAAAGGCAGGAGCAGGGAGGGGACGGGGAAGAGGAGGGCAGGTACAGCGCGGGAACAGGGGAGAGCGACGAGGGCGGAAGGGCCACAAGCCAACGCGACGAGAGGAAGCCGTGGAGGGCGCAGGCCGTCCTCCTTGCCCGACCCGTCGCCCTCCTGCGCCCAGGTGCGGCTCCAGTCCCTGTACGTCCTGGGGTTGGCCTCGGTGTACTCCTGGGGAGGAAGAGCACCACGGCAGGTTCGGGTCGTGAAGACATCGGCGCTGGTCTCTGGCACCGCGTGGATCGCTCAACCTTGAGCGATCGCGGCCTTCCGGTCGCGCGGATCGTTCGAGATCGATCGATTTCAGGCCGCTGGCGGCGACCCGCCTTGAACGCCCGCGCCGGGGTCGCCGCCGCATCGGCACGGCACGAACCCACCCCGTGCACATGCACTGGTCCTGACCGGCCCATCCTGGGCCCAGGATCAGTGTCGACAACCTCCTGGCTTGGCCAGAGAAGCAGATGCACCGATCCTGGACCCAGGATTAGCGGGGACAAGATCGGCGCACAGTCGAAACCCAAGAGCACGACGACTACCTTCACCGAAGGCCCAGGGGAACCACGGAAATGACTCAAACGAGGAGCACTCCAAGGTGGAGAGTCCAAGCACGAAGAAAATCAAGGGGCCCCATCCGAAGCAGGGGGGTGCTCTTGACCCTCGCGCCAGCTGCACGTGCTTAGCTCTCTCAACCCGAGCTCCAGGAAGCGCTGCTTGTCCACGCCTGAAGCGTTGAAGACAGCGGTGACGCCAAGGGAGTCTTCCTTCAGAGGAAGGAAAAATGCACATGCATACGATGCAAATCCTGCAGTACGAAGTCGAGGGGGACGCTTGCACACGATCTCCAACCTGCGGGTCCCCAGGGCCATCGGGAGATAAGAGATTGCCGCGGTGGAGACGATGACAGGCTGGCTTCTTATGTGATGCGCCCGTAAACGTTCGGATGTCTGCGCAAATGGGCCCATCGCCAATCAAAGAAATCCGCGCGGACCTCCGAAAGAGTTGATGTTTGTGCCATTTTCTGTTTGGACTCCTTGGGGCAGACGGTGTACTGGGCCCCCGCCAGGTGGGCGATGTCGGCATCTCCCGTGCAGTCCACCACGCACTTCGCTAGTATCGCCTGGCGTCCCGACTTGCTCTCGGTGATGACCCCGCGGATGACACCGCCCTCCACGATCGCCTCGACCGCAACGGTGTGGAGGAGCGGGCGTATGCCTGAGGGGCGGCGAAGAAGGGAGGAGGGACTAGCTCAGGGGGCTGCTGCTGCTGCTGCTGCTGCTGCTGCTGCTGCTGCTGCTGCTGCTGCTGCTGCTGCTGCTGCTGCTGCTGCTGCTGCGGTCTCTGCGGTCTCTGCGAACAACAAAGCCTCCCACCTCCCAGTAGTGGCTCGGGGGGGGGAGGGGGGGGAAGGGGGAAACATCGACCTGGAGCGGGCAATACACTGCCGACAGATCGGCGACAGGCCCCCCGATGGCGACACCGCACGTCCCTGGGCGGGGCGGGGCACCCAAGCCTGGCGGTGGAGGGGCGATGGATCCTGAGGGTCGATGCTTCCCTTCTCTGGGCCCCCCTCTGGGCGTGCCGCTCTGCATGATGAGCTTGTCGGCCACGACCTCAGAGGACCAGAGAGAGCAGCACGAAGCACGGAGGCTTCGGGCGTCCGCGGGCGACCTCTCCGCCAGCGAAGGGACACCCTGCCCCCGAGGCCCTGCACGGCGCGCCAGGCGGGCAGGGGGGGGGGGGGCCGCCAGAGGCGCACCGCCCAGGGATGCTGACGGAGAGAGGCCGCCCGCGGAGGTACATGAAGGTGGTGCGTGCGCGCTCGGCTCTCTGGCCCTCCGGGCGGCCTTGAAGAAGTCCGCGTCCAGACAGGGGCTGTCGTTGTAGGGCCACTTGGTGGTCCCGCCCATTCGCCCCGCCAGCCTCTCCATCTCGAGGCCGATGCCCTCGCCCTCGACAGTGCCCTCGTAGCGGTACCTGGCAGGCCGAACCCGTCCTATTTTCCTCCTCCCCCCCCTCCCTCCAAAGCCGATCCCCGGACCCCTCCTGTGGCGCATCCCGACCCAAATTCCGATACGGAGCCAGCCGCGACGATGAGGGCCCTCCAGCCCAAGAAGCCACACACACACACACACACACAGACACTTTGTGTTTAGGATCCCACGGCCTGGAGAGGGCACAGGGAATCCGAAAAAGAAGAAAATCATCCACGGCCGCTCTGCTCTAGGACCCAGCCCCTTCGTGCAAGCACTCAAATTTGTACCCCAAGGCATCTGCTGTTGTTGGGGTGTGGTCTCGACAAAATGTCTAAAACCAAGACCCGACGATGATAAGCCACCCAAAGGTTCAAAAATTCGCCCGCTCAACGAGGCAAAGGCGTGTTAAGATCTCCGGTGACAAGTTAACAATATTCTAGTTCGCGCGCGCGTGGCGGCCCACAGCCGAGACACCAGGTGGAGGAAGGAACAGTATAAGGCTGACTTCTGCTGTCAAGGGTGCCTGCGCGGCCCCTTCAAGCACGATAAGGGCGCATACGTCAGCAAACGAATTCGCCAAACCATCAGCAGCAACAGGCTGACGGAGTACTACCAGGGGAAGGACCTGACCTGGCTTTGCAGATGCTGCTGGACTACGAAGGCAATGGCCGAGCGGCAACCCATTCCAGACGACGTGGACTTCAAGAGCTGGATCAACGACCGCCCCGACGACATGCCTGTCCGGGCAACGCGTGCCCTTCCAGGGCTGTGTCCGACGTCCGTACCCACGGCCCTGACGCCCCTGGACCAGCTACTGGTCCCACTTGAAGGCGACCTGAACCCCCTCAATGTGGGAACCACCCTCCCAGCCAGCATCACGAACGACGACTGCCTGATCATCCAATTCCACAAGGAGAATGTCGGCATCTGGAGATGCGATGGCTGCCCCTCCGGCACAGAGGAACACAGGCGGGGACCAGGGCAGGCCTACCCTGGCATGCACGGGACTCCCGCGGATCCAGAAGGACTCCGCGACGGCTTCAACCTGGTCCACGGGCTCCCTCCCGCACACCTGATGGGGGAGATGTTCCTGGCCAAGCGCTATCGGGCACCCCCGCGCCATCGGCAGAGGGCGCAGCACGCCCCAGCCAAGAGGAGGTGCTGCGACGCGCGGCCGCCTGGGATGAGGCAGAGCGCAGCTACCACGACCGCCACGCCACTGTACTGCCACCCCCCGTCCGGGACCCCGACGCTGCGGCTTCCGCCCAGCCACCCACAGGAAGCGCAACCGCCAGCGGGGCCCAGCAGCACACCACCCCCCGGGCGGGCGCGCGCCCCGAGCAGACACCCAGCCCGGCCCAGTCAAAAAGGCCCACCAAGGAAAGGCGCGTGACACCCTGCCCAACACCCACCAAACCGCCCACTGACGGAGGCGCTTCGTCCCTTCCCCCTTCACTCCCACCCACTCCGCGCGGCGACGAACCGACCCCAGCCCAGCCGGCCACGCGACCCACGGCTACCAAGTCTGGCCGGGCGCCGCCATCCGTCGGCCCGACACCAGAATCCCTCGGAAGGTGCGCAGAACACGGCAGCCGTGAAGTGCAGCAAGGGCAGGTCCCGGACACGCCCATCGTGGGCTCCCTGTGCCCAACTGCCACGGACAACCCAGGCATCCAGCGCGGCGACTACGCGGTCATCAGGGGCGACACCCTTCCCCGCGCCAGATAGTTCAGCACTGCGGACTGCACCGAGCCCCTAACGACACAGCCCCTGGACGGAGCAGTCTTTGGACCCACCCTCCGCATCCTGGCCCGCGAACAGGACGCGCGGACGCTACTCGTCCAGATCGGCAGCGAGCGGCTGGAAATACGAGGCGTCGGCGACAAGACGCTACGCGCAAACGTCCCCCGTGGAGGCGCAGCGCTCCGGGCAGCTACTTCTCTGGACAATGCCCAAGGCACGGTGCACAGAAAGCAAGCACCAGCGCTCCTCGACAGCCCCACGCGGGGCATCGACACCGGGGGGGGGGCAAAGCGGCGTCCTCAGGGGGAATGCAGGACAGGCCCAAGCTCGAGCCCTACCCGCCGCAATCCGACACACAGGACACCACCTACGAACCTGCACCCCTCATGCCCCCTAAGGAGGAGGACCCCGACTGGGGCAACGACGACCAGGCACAAGAGCAGAAACCGCGCCTCGCCGAGGCCCAAAGCGAGGTCCACCCCGTCTCCTCGTCCTCAGACTCGGTCACAGTCGAAGAGCACCAAGCCAAGACGAGCCCTCGAAGCGAGCGGCACACCAGTCCCGAGATCGACCCGCGCAGCACCGACCAGGTGGCTGCCCACGCACCCGCTGAGCCAATCTTGCGCCTAGAGGCCGCGGCCGACGACCGGAACCAGCACGCGCGGAACCGTTCCAAGGGCCCGGAGGACCCACGACCTGCACTCACCCCTCTCCCTGCGCACCTCCTAGAGCGCTCGCGCGGCAGGGTGCGGGAGCCAGTCGCCTGGGAGTCGCACGCGACGGCGGTGAGGCGCGAGTCCAGAGAGGGCGACCGGACCCGCACAGGAGAGCGAGACCGCGACCGCGACCGCGACTGCGACCAGGGCGCGACGGGGGCACCTTGGCGCAGACACGACGCCAAGGACTGGGACAGAACTAAGGAGCGCTACTGGGACCAGAGCCACGACACTGGCAGGGGCGCAGGTAGCGCACCCTGGCGCCAGCCAGAATCGCGCAACTTTTACTACAAAGACGATCGCAGCTACACCGACACCAGCCGGACGCGAACCACCTTCCGCGTTGGATGGCAGCGCCTCCCAAACGAGACAGCGGTAACACACCTGAAGAGGCTGCAAACAGAAGGGGGATACCACTTCAACGCAGCCTGGCATTCGCGGTGCAGGCACACGTGCAAGGAAGAGGGCAAGGGCAAATCCAAAGACCAGGCGCCTTTCGACCCAGGCCGCTGGCAACAGTGGATAATCGACAAAATCCTGGATGACATGAGCACCAACAACTACTACGCGGAGCGGTAGCCCAGCAGCGCAGGCGTCTACGTGGACTGGGAGCGAGAGCAGAAGCTCTACCAGGACGTGCATAGGAAAAGGGAGGTCGCTGAGGGTGACGGGCGCGACGGGGACCAGGCGCGCAGCTCCGGGCACCACGACACCTGGACTGGAAAGCGCCCGAGGCGCTGACAGTCGTCGACCCGACCACTTCTTGCCCCACGGCACCACAGCACAACCAGCCAATCGCTCCCACTACCTGCGCTCCCGACCCCGACCCAAACCCCAACCTGTCACCTGGCTGGGGACCGCGTGCCCCTCTCTTCCCCATCACCTGCACCCCATCGCCCCTGTGGCGACCGCGCTCCACGAGCTGGCTGCCCACCCTTTCACCTGGACCCCGTTTTTCCTTTCCCCTCCCCCCCCCTCTCCCGCATTCAAGGATCTGGGACTCTGTGTCCCACCTGTACCCATCGGATGGAGGAAATTCCAGGATCTGGGACTTCGTGTCCCACCTGTACCCATCTGCGCCGCATTGGTGCACCGGCGAATTGCGTGGCTCGCCCTTTTACCTGCGATGGGACCCCGTGTCTTACCTGCACGCATTGGGGCGTGTCCCCACGTGAGCACCCCGGCGCAAGCTGGCGCGACTTCGGCCGGCGCGGGATGCCAGCCTCTCCCCCCTGTTCGCTTCTTCCCCC